CGAATGCAGCCTGTTGGTCTATCTGTCTTAGAGTGCAAACGTTGAATGCCACTGACGAAAGGGGACAGCGGGGCCTTGTAAAGACTTGTTACCGACAGGCATTCTGCGGGAAGCTAGCGGCGGACGGTGAAGTTTCAGTGGTATTGCGACCGTAAGTGAACCGCCCAACGCCGTTATAACACGCATCAGGCTCCGAGGGTTAGGCCACGTGTTGCGCATGCCAGCTCACCGACTCCCGCGACTTGCGTTGTTTGCGCGCCGGCGCTGTGGATAGAAAAAGAGGAGAGGTGGCCAAGCGATGGTTATGTCAAGATGAATGAAGTCCCTCACTTCGAAGTTGGCGTCCGTTGGTGTCTCCCGACTGCCTGACTGGGGTGCCAAAGACGATGAACTCGTCAGGTTGGCTACACTAGTTGAGGTTTCGATGAGCCGACCTTAATGGCGTTTGTGTTGTTAGTTTCTTTGTCTCTCCCCATCCCGCTTATCTTACCTCTACGATCATTTCACCCCGTGTATTTCTGTATGCTTACATTCGATTGTTATTTTGCACCAAAGTTATCAACGCATTTATCTCTGTAGACTCTCGGTAAATGACACATTTCGACTTCATTGTACTCATCCCAACCATCCTACGGGACGTGTCAAGCACTTGCTTTTATCCTGTGATAAATCACTGTTCATTGTACTTCCAACCACAATCTATCTCTTGAATCGTAAACTTTCACTATTTATCGTGTTGCTTGTTTTTTGCATTCAACAATGTTTAGTATCTCACTTTTTCGTACATCTGATCTTTATGTACTGCGGCACCATGGTTGAATTGTGTTTCTCACCTTCAGCTAATGTGTAATGATGATGATGCTGTCAATTAAGCTGGGAATTATAGAAGGCCTTCTAAGAATGGGAATTGAGTGGCGAGTAAGAGAAATATTGTAGAAGAAAGAAGGGAGTTGTCAGCAGTAGCATGTTTTCGCTTTTTCGTACTGCCGTGTGCAGCAAATAGTTCATCCCTTTTATACTTGCTGAACATCCTCTACATTATACGATTGAAGCTTGGGGAAATAGTTAGGGTTTTAAGGGAGCTTACATTCTGTGTATGTACCCAAACTTGAAGTGGTGAATGATTAGGATCCTCGCCGAATACCTTTAGCTCAAAAGCCTGTCCGCACTGCGCTTCGAGATGGCAGCGATCCGGTTTTACAAAATTAGACGCCATCCCATTTCTAACCTTTAACTTGGAGGACTATGGGAATGAGTTCTTCTGACCTCTAACCGTTGACTAATCTTGTTGGATTAGTTCTCATTTGGCCCGGCGCACCACCCAGTATAGCTCAATAGGTCGGAGTGGTACGCAAACCTTCGCAACTCGGTCCTGTGTTACTGCGACGGTCTAACATGTCGTGGCCATCTTCTCGGTTTACTATGAATTCCACGCCGACTATGTAGGACTCATTCGGTCTGACGAAGCTTTTTATCAAACTCGAAGCATTGCCAACCAGATAGAACAGCCGGTTATTTTCAGATCATTCTGAAATCACAAAGGTTTTTCTTAACTTACTCTGTTTCTTAGCCTTAATGGTTTCCCGTCGTTAAATCATGCTTACACCATATTGACCAGTTGTTGTATCACTTTGAGGTAGCTACTCAGATAATGTGAGCTCATTGGCAATACGTCGCGCACCAAGCAGAAGTCATGTATTAAATTGCGCACCTAATCGTCAGCCCTCGGTAGCTCAGTGGTAGAGCAGCGGGCCGGAAATTCGTTGGACCGGGGTTCGATTCCCCGTCGAGGCAGATTATTGTGTGGAGTTTGATCGTGACTTCTACTTTCTACGAACCTTACGCTACTCACAAACATCCTTCAAGTACTCAGATCTATTCTTCCGGCATCGTAGAAACTAGAGGCCATAATGCCGATGGTGCAGAACAGAATTTCTTTGGTGTTATTGTCTTAGTGTGTTTCCACATCACACTTTTAATTTTGGCTTAAAGATCAAAGTAATGCATCCAGTATTCGTTCATAGTCACCAGAAGTCTATCCGATCCAGAATTGAGGTGATTCGGTTTTGCTCTCTTCCCAACACTTCCGCTCCAACGAGACTCAAATTGTTCTGGCACATCTGAATTTGCTCTTCCATTTGTATAGCTGTTCACGTTTGTGACACCCATTGCTCAGACTTTTCGTCGGAATAGCATGCACTGTCAGTTTAATAGCTCATAGATTGTTATTCTTTTGCTTGTTTTTATTCTGTCCAAGTTAATGATGCTGTTAACTTCATCAACATTTTTATGGGTCACTGGCGTTGCTGAAAATGCTCCCACATGGGTGTATCAAAGCTTCATCATCATCATCATCCTCATCAGACACGTTTGCTAGAGGTGGGAAACACCTCAGCTACTGTGCCGCAATACATAGAAAAAGGAGAAACAAAATGCAACTGGTGCAAGCTGATTGAGCTACCGATAACGGATGAGCATCGTTCCGGTAAGCTACCAGCCGGCTACTGTGCATCAGAAAAAAATTACTATGCAAAATTATATAAGGCCACACAGTGACATCGTGGTTAGAGGGGAGGCTAAGAGAGATGGGGTGGGACAAAGAAACTCACAGCAGGAACGCCACTGAAGTCGGCTCCTAGCCATATCAGTAAATGTATCCAGCCAAACGTGTTCGTCTTTCTGACCCCAACGAGGAAGCTGAGACGCTCCAACCGAGGCCAACTCAGAAGTGAGGGCCTTCATTCCTCTGGACAAAGTCATCGCTTGGCCACCCCTCCTATTCTTCCATCCACATCCCCGGTGAGTAAACAACGCACGTCGTGGCAGTCGGTGGGCTGAAATGCGTAACACATGGCCCAGCCATCGGAGCGTGGTGCGTGAAATGACGGTGCTGAGCGGTTCATTTCCTTTTCCTGTGCCGTAAACAAGGTGTAGAACACGCTCGTTACTCTCGGGGTGTTCCCACCAGATGTAAGCTAAGTTGCGAAGGCACCGGTGGTCGAACGTAACTAGCCTCTTCAGGTCCGCTGCTTTAAGGGGCCAGGTTTCACAACCGTATAGCATTGTACAGTCTACCCTTCAGGGCGAGAGTGATGTCGCGCCGGCTCCATAAGTAGCGAAGATTATCAAATGCGCCTCGAGCTTTTGCTATACGGTTCGTGATATCATCTTCAATCCCACGGGCGCTGATACAACTTCCCAAATAGTTGAATTTTTGCACGACTTCTATCTGATCTCCAGCAACGGTCAGCGAAGGAAGCGGTCCAGACCAATCTTGGAGGAACGCTTTGTACTTCGAGGGTGCGTAGCAAAGCCCGAAATGACGGACAGCTAGTGCTAATCTGTCCAGTGCGGCTTGTCACGTTTGTGAGCTGTCACAGATTAGGGCAATATCGTCAGCATACTCTAAATCAAGAAGTCGTTCACCTGGGAGTAGCATTACCTCTTCTAAGTCTTGTTTTGTGAACGCGATTTCCATTACTGCGTCAATGGGGAAGTTGAATAGGATAGGTGACAGCGGGTATCCTTGTCTCACACCGCTGGAGATATTGAAGGGTCACGCCAGGTTGCCGTAAGCCCTCACTCTGCCCGAGCTACGCGCCTATACTGCTCGGAGTATCCAAGCTTAGCTTGGTTTGATTGCCGCCCCCGTCGGTCAGCATCTTCGTACGGCATTTGAATTTCCGACGCTACTTGGCAAGGTGTCTACCTGTTTACTACCCACTACCTCGTCTATACTGGCTCTATAAGACAGTTGGTCGTTGCTGGAGAGGACGGGGTGCACGGTCCTTGTGGCCGTGCTAGGCTCAAAGAGCGGTTCCATGCACTCAGTTTGGAGTGGACTACGATGAAGCCACCGCATTGTGTTCGATTAGTTCCCAAATACAGCATGCTTGTGTTTGTCTGTGAAGGAGTGCGGGCCGGCTCCGTTGATGAAACGTGGCTCCCATGCACATGCCTCCCGGTCATATTCCGTCGGGTTTACACTGGATATGGGTGTGTGTGTGTGTGTGTGTGTGTGTTTGGAGCTTTGCGTGGTGCAGCGCATGCCACCTATGGTCCCTATGTGGGCGCAGGCGTCCTGTGACTGTCCTATGGAGGCCGCGGTGACAGGCAAATCCACACACACACACACCTATATATATATATATATATATATATATATATATATATATATATATATATATATATATATAACCCTTGCCTAGTTACAGTACAGTTCGCAGTACTACAACATGGGCATAAAAATAATACGACGAAACCGTCTATAAAACTGCGAACAAAGGAGTTACGTCTTACGACACCTCCGTCATAGAGTACGAGTTCTTATCGTACCCGTGAGCCTTTCCAAAAAGATGTGCCATCTAGGAACTTGGTTACAAAACTTGATCGCGCTGACACATACTGTTTCCTTTGTGGGTGCCGCGGATTGAGTTGCAGCAGTTGATTCATTGGTGTTCCCGCCTTCTGTCTCTCGCTTCCAGCTGATTGCATTTTATCCTTATTGATTGTCCACTTCTTTCCCAACCTTTTTTCTTTGTATTTCAGCTGCACCCTACTTCAATTTTTTTGCTGTTGTTAAGTATCGCTAATCTGGCGACTTATATCGCGGTAATAAGACCCGCCTCATTTCGGTATCCGGATGATATTTGTTTGCCTATTTCATGAAGCGTTCGGTTTGGGAGAAGGCTTGTGCTTGAACAGTTTAGGAAATAGATTTGTTGTGTGGTACGAGTGATTTCTGGTGTCCTTTCCACCTGGTTTATCCTGCAAGTTTTAATCTGGCGCTCCTATATCCTCCAAATCTAGCATTTTAAGCGATGTCCAAGTCCACCGCGCCTCGTTAGTATCTCCACTTACCTACATATTCATCAGCCTTTCGTTTAATTGTGTAATTTACTCAATTACCTCGCACATGTTTGAGCATGCCAATCTAGAGTGTCATCTACTCCGTATTTTCTGATTCTCTTCTGTGTCCTCATTCGGTGTCTCGTGTTTAGGTCACACGCGATCGTCTTCTTCGAATGTGGCCGAAGGAAGAACGCGGTCCTGTTGCTGATGATCTTCCGATTGGGTCAGGCTATCCAGGAGGTAGGCTTTTCTGTTCACCTAAGCTACCATTCGGTGGACAATGTATCCTTTTTCCCTCAGTTCTAGTAGCTGAATGCTCCTTTAGTTGTCTGTGTCTTAGCAACACGCGATGACCGCCATTATGCGCTCTCTTTGGGCCCAGCGGAGAGCGGGGAACGGATTCCACCTGATTATCTCTTTCCAGGTGCACGATTCATGAACTCCTGGGCAAACCATGGAACTTCACCAGTTTGTGCTATAATCTCTCGTTTCTTCTTAGTATTATTTATGTTGATAAATCTAATGTTGCAGTTTCACAACAGAATCCGCGACTGTTCCATGCAATGATGATGAATGATCAGCTTGGCTTAACTCGTTAAGTTTTCATTGAACGGTTAAAAGCTTAATTTTTTTAATCGGCCATGCACTTTTGTCCTACTTCATTCTTACCCGAATCTTAGCCATCTGTATGTAGAGCCCTTTCCAGTTGCTCACTGCTGACGGTATGCTCTTCATTTGATGTTACCGAAAAACAAAAATACTTTTGAAAGTTGCGGCTGAAGTCTCTACACTCTATCGGCCATGATGATCGCTAACCTTGGCTGATTCTCATCACGGCGTGCAATCTCAGCGTTGAGTATTCATTGTGAGGACAAACACCATCGGTTTTCTCTCGTGTTACATGTAATACGTGCGACACATTACTACGTATACTACGACGCCGTTTGTTTAAATTGCGTTTACTTTCTTGGTTATCCTATCCGCACACCTCCATCTATTGCCCAGAATCAAATCGCTCATTTCGGCGATGGTTACGACTTGTCGCATCTAATCGATTTTTAAGATGGAATTCTCTTCGTGTTCATGTGACGACCCTTCTCATCACTCGGTAGGTAATAGGTCGCTATCTTCTCGCCACCATTTTTATGGCTCATGCTGTTACCTACTCTCGGAATAAACCAAATCTCGGTACCACAGTGCTGCCTACAATGGTCGAGCACCCCCCCCGCACTGTCGAGTTTCTCATGTTTGAACATTTAGCTCAGACAACCTTCGTGCGTATGCTCACGTTCAAACGGTGACACGCTTTTCGTCTACGTTTTGAGTTTTAAAGCTTTGCGTTTTTTTTGCGTTCCCTATTCTTACGCTACAGATCCATTGACAAAGAAGTATCTCGAGATGTGCGTCGATCCGATTTTCGGCTTCCCCTCACTTGTCCGATCCAGTTGGTCCACAGCAGCAAACTTGCTTACCAAGCATGGCATTGCTGTTTCCTGGTGAGTTCATTGTTTTTCCACTACATAACCGACTTTATTTGCACCCTGAGTTTGGCGTAGCGGTTATTTCATACCGTTCTGTCATTCGTGAGTGTTATTTGCAATTGTCTTCTGCATGAGACCCTTTCCCATTTCCTCTGCAAATGATGATGACATTCTTTGAATTGACCTACTCATTTGTTCATACCCTCTTTCCATCCATATACAAAATGAGTCTTGGACTCCCATTGTGCTAGATGCACGGCTTACTCATAAATGAGTCAATTTCTTCAAAGCTTCATTGTAGAATTGTGATAACAATTAATAGGGTTCCCGTGTGTTTTCTCTCCATGGGATTCGGCTTTCGTGTGACTCCATGACCTACCAAACCATGCGTAATAGCGTCTCATATTAGACTTGTTACTAGCCGATGGCGGAACGATCCCTCGTCGTTCTGTTAGTGAACGCTAGTTGTAAAGGAATATCGGCTAAAAACACCCAGCATGCTCTTCAAGGATTCCAATCGCGGCCACGTGTGCACGGTTCTACTGGGAGGTATCCGCATTCCGACTAAAACCCTCCGATACTGCCTCTGAGGTGTGTATTATCCTGGATCGTGTCATTTCAGTTGACAACTCTTAGACTGACACTCGTTATTCTACTAAATATTCATTTACATCAATGACTTGACCTTCTGCATAACGGTTATCCCGCCAATATTTGCAACCTATTCTTTATTGTGTTTGGTTATAAAACCGTTTGGCTTGACAAGTGTCTTCCTAGGGAACAACACAGTTGCGCTATCATAGGAGCACGCGGCAGCGGTTTCACTATCCTGTTGTAGTGGCCTCTGAGAACACAATCATGTTTACAAAAAGGTTACTGATCAAAAATTCTTACCAAACCCGGTACTCAATCACGTTTTGCAACGCCATTGTGCGCCAAAGTGTATCTGCTTCTAACCGCCGAAAGCTTTTATTGAACCCCTGAGCTGGATAATAAGTTCGTTATTGAGATTGATGATTGAATCGACGCTTGACGCGAACTCATTGGATTCACCAACTGTTAAGTTGTCCCGAACTCAGTTTTCCTTTTTAGCACACTTTTCGATCAGTATTTGTCTTAAGAAACCAACAATATTTGATCAGTCCATTGTTATCGACGTACTGCCAACTCTCTGGTAAGCTCTCGATACATCTTTCATACAACGAGCTAGGCTGACAGTCAAAGTATTAGGCAAGATGGGTTTCAATATGTTCGCGGTCGTCGAATTTCTTTTCCTTGACGCTACTTTACAGCAAGCGGAAATGATGGTAGTCAGTAGGAGCAAGGTCAATGCTATATGCTGGATGCATACGAATTTCAGTACCGAGCTGCTGAATCATGAGACGCATCATCTTCGACACATGAGGACGTGCGCTGTTTTGCAGGAGAAGGATTCGAACAGTTCTTGCACGCATTTTTCCGTGTTAGCCGACCATCATTTGCAGTTATTGGCAGTAGACATCAGCGGTAATCATGAAATTGTCGGGTAGCAGTTCCCGATTGATGACGCCGCGGCGATCCCACCAGACCGACTGTTAGGAGGGGCACCTTCTAACGAACCGATCAGTTAACCCACAGTGAATCAAAGCCCATCCATTTTCCATAGATCGAGCAAGATAATCGCATTGGTTAATCAATAGAATGTTCGCACAAAATCTAATACCAGTATTGGTAAGTAAAGAACAGAAGAGAACAGTGAACGTTCAGGAAGGTCGCTATGAATAAATAAATATCGATACTCTGTGATCATCTCGTGTCTGGTGCCCATTACAGAGTATCTACGACATTGTCCTTTTGATCGTCCAATTGGGGACGGGCAGGTTTTCAGCGAACAGCCAACCGGCGTGGATTGGGGCGACCTTTTTGCCTTTCATGACTTTTACTGGCGTTTCATCTTCTGCGATCCATTGACGCTTCGTGCTATGGTTGACATAGAGTACCCAATTCTGGTCTACAATAACGACCTCGTTCAGCCATCGATGATCGCGTTTTCGGGTGAGCAGTGAAAGGGCGTTGCACAACCGTTCAAAAGCTGCTCATCAGTCAATTCGTGTGGCACAAGTTGTCTGGGCTTCGTGACAATTTCGGATTGGCGCAGCTAGCGATAAACATTGGTTTTGCAATTCCTCGAACGCTCTCTTAAAGCGTCCTGGATGTTGCCGACAATGTCCACTGGCTTACATCCTTGACCTCAGAGGTTTGGCACTTTGTAGTCCCCTACTTTCAATCCAGGGAACTAGAATTCACCATACCGTAACTTGGAGTATCACTGTCTAAAGGCCATGCATGTTTCGACAGGCGTCGATCGTTTTGCGCCATTGTAGGAACTCGTACAACCTGCATCTGCGAACAGCATATCGATCATTTGCAATACCGCAACCATTGTTAAGATGTAGGATAATTCAGTTGTTGTGGAGTTCTCCGAGCTGGGCAACTTGCTTGCAAACGTTTCGCCACCATTCGAGGTGGCGTCTTCAGTGCGGGATTGATAGCAGTTAAGTAGCAGTAGCTGGTAGAAAGCAAACCCAATAATTGGGTTTGGTCCACAACAACCGAGCAAGCCTCCCGAGCTACCAATACTCCATGTGTAGGATAATTAAACAATGTAAACCCTTTGTTTCAGTGTTTTCCCTTATATCCCCATATAACAGAACCTTCCAAAATTTCTGGAATGGAATCGAATAAATCAATGGGTTTTGGGACAACCTGATATCTGTTCAGTTCAACAAGTCATTCATGATCCAATGATCGCATTGCAATGCATCCTCTCATATTAACACTTACCGTCAAGCTAATGAGATGTGGAATAACGAACAGCTGCAAATCGGGAGCATGCTCGTGGAATCAAGTCCATTGGAGAGGTCAGGAGCAAAAAAGGTATCCTTCTTTAATGCATGGACCACCTACACGAGTCCACCGACTGTATGCATGGTCTTCGCGACTGCGGCGTGTCTTATAGGGTCTTCAATCACTGATCTACCTCGAGACTCCCATCCACGAATATGACCTGTAGCAGTCGGCTTATATTTCCTTTTTCTCTTCTTCTTTTTTCTCTCCGTGGATTTGTTCACTTAGGTGCTGCAGCCGGAGGCAGGTGTACAACGTCCGTAGCTCAATTGCGTAAGATGGTTTAATTGGGCATTATGCCAATTGCTGCCATCCGCGAGCTGACGCCTCTGCATCATTACTCGTTGGTCCCACAAACTTGACACTTCGCTCATGCAACTCTACCCGATGAGTCCAATTCAGGACGAAACGAGTCGTGAAGTGCAGCGCTGGGAGAGATCAACACGGAAACACTACACCTCGGATACGGTCCTCGTGATGGGAATGGCAGGGCATGCCTTCAAAAACCACCGCAGCTGCAATTGAGATTTCGTGTAACAATGCAGATACACATCGGGTACTCCAAAACCCGACAGACAACTTGTCTTTTTATGTCTATTCATAGTGACCACTTCCCCAATCCGTACAGTAACACTCGTCCTACTACCACGTCGTATGCCTCTCTCCTCGTTGATAGGCTAAAATCCTGCGCACTTCAGTGGTTGATGAAGCCTTGGAAAGGTTCTTGTGCTTTACTAGCGCGCACTTTAATCTCTTCGCTATTTTCTTCATGTAGCTACGTAGAAAAATAAGCCGATCTACTTCTTCGTGGGATTCGCACTACTGAGTCTTAGTTCAACGAAATGGTCATCCAGTGCTTCTCCCAATATGTGAGGTGCAACTTTATGCTAATGAATCATCCGTAGAAAAGTACATCAAAGTTTTCCTACCCATAACTTTCTCGTAGTCTGTTCGCTCATTTAGCTTGGTAGCTCTCATGCACTCCACAAGTCTTAGGGAGGTGCTTTCTACAGACCCTGCACAGTGCTTTGGAATTTAAAGATGAGGGATTTCAAAATGGGTGTTTTCCTGCACTATCTGTATATCCTGTCGAGTCATGGGCGATTTTGTACCGGTCAACTTTAGAACGGAGTATTTCAAGCGTAGACGAAAAGGAGGTACACAAGGAAAGGTGATCGGTGAGGGATTTTTGCAAGAAAGTGACACTTCAGTCACTCATTTCTAGTGAGATATTTCAATGTGAGATATTTGGCTTTTTTGATTTCTAACTCTTGACTAGTCTGGTGCTGAGATCCCTTGAGGTCCGAGGATAGTGTTGAGAAAGGAATGTATTGGGGCGAATTGATGCCTTTCCTAACGGAATCAGTTTTCACACTATAGCTAAGATCATTAGCCTAACCTTGAATTACTATGGATTACTTGCTAGATTGTTTGTGAACGAAACTGCGATTGTCAGCTTTACAGTTGACCACAAACGCATCTCTTCCAGACTAATAAATTATGACGAGGATTCGAGCTGAATGGGCCGTGTTTTGGTAGTTTTTTTCTGGTTTTTTTCATCAATATCTTTGTGTTCTGATCTCCCATTTTGGTCGGAAGTTTGCGAAGAGCCTGATTGCAATAGCCGAAGATCGCATGCGGTGGGCAGACTTAATAGAATGCACTTTCTAATCGCCATCAAGCCGGTATCTTCGCACCGAGATTGCCCACTGTCATCCATCAAAGTTGAGGGGATTTTCTGTCAACTTTCTGCCCACGTAGTACCATTTAGCATGTCAGGAAACAACTTGCTGACTATCTCGGTTAATCGAGCTTACTGCTATGCCCTGGCGCACTGTGGCATTCTCTAGTTAGATCAGTCTTGCCCCCCATGCTGTAATCGAACAGTTTGCTCTTCAAAACCTACCTCATAGCCTCCTGCTGGTCATTCATTCAATGAAACGTCGGTGCCACGCCTCAGTTTGTAGCCTAAGTCCATGTGCCTTCTCAGCTCTTCGGTACTTCATCTATTTGGCCCGGTGCTTCTGTTTAACCCCTGAGTGATATATGTAAATCGTGGTTCAAAATTATTTGCGCAACTGAACCATGGTGCTACTGAGCAGTAGCATCATCAACCTGTTGGAAACAAGTCAATGCAAGTGAGACGTTGCCACAACGATGCCAGGTAAGCATTGTGCTGAACACTAAGTAACAGGCAGTTTAGTCAACAAACAGAAGTGGGAAATATGTAGGTTAATTCCAATAAGGTTGAGGTACTGGCCAACTGGTTGGGAGCTGGTCACGTCTTTTTTCACTCCGACGAGTCTGTCCATGAGTGCCTATTTCTGATTATCACTGGCTGAACCCACCCATTTATTACTGCACTCGTATGTGATCACATAACTCGCACTTACTGATACCTTTGATTCATGCCGTTGCTGTTTTCTGAATTGTTGATTTTTGTTTCTTTCCATTCCCCCGAGCAATTATCTCTTCTTCTCTGTATCCTAACACCTCACCTTGCCCCCTCCCAGGGAGGATGATGAGGATGAAGAGCACTCCGCCCCAACTAAGCGTCCGGCAAAAAAGCTAGCCACAGGCTCGGGAAAATTGTCGGAGTACTTCACGCCCACTCCCCTTGCCCACAGAAGATATGCCGTAAGACGAGCTTACTTTGTACGGTCTTCTATGACCCACGTTGACTCCCTGTGTTGATTAATCGCTCCCTTACCAATGTGCGGCTCTTGTCTTTTTCCCACTCTATGTACCAAAATCGCGTACCTACCTCAGCCTGCTGTTTTATTATATAATAACTCATACATCTTGATCGTACATATGTTAGTTTTCACTCTCGGTTGGATCCACACGTTTCATCACCTCGCGTTTACTTGACTGTGGATAGAAAGAAACAATCGTCTTACCACTGCCCTTTGAATCAGGTTACCTTCATCTCATTTCTGTGCTGTTGTGGTGCTCCTTGCAGTATGTGCTCCAGGTTGCATCTTTTGCCATGCAAACCTTTACTGAGTTCAATGGAACCCTAATCATACGAGAAGGAACTCGGTACTGCAACAAGTCACAACTCTATCCAAGCTCCCTGGCACTTTGACGTGGGTCAGTGATTGTGCGCGTACAATTTGCGTTTCGTGTTTCAGTTCAGTTAAACAACTATGATCCGGGCACCGAAGCGCGGTGGATCTAGCTACTACGACTCACATCGCCAGGATATCAATAAATAACAAGGGTGGCAAATTGAGTTTGGATGCAAATAGAACGCGGAGAAAATGGAACCAAAAAGTGGTGCGCTAAACTAATCTGGGTGGAATGGAAATTAACAGCTAGATGCAAAGAACCGAATGTAGTAACGCCATTGACTGCGGAACTGCGATAGTCATCAACCATTGGTGTGGACTATTCCTGAATCCCCATCGACGAGACGACACCCCAGCCTGACCAAGCCCTTCTTACACTTCCTTCATACTCTTATGCCACGTCATCGACTCGCTTCCTCGCGGCTTCACTTAACTTGGTGCAGCGTCTGCGTATAATGCATGCCGAGGAAGTCGGTTAACAGGTATACGGAGGACATAGCTGTCACGTATGCACTTGAGTGTCGATTCGTGAACACAGGCACTTTCCTTATTTCATTGATTTCTCTTTCCGGCTTTTCTAGCCACTGTAATGCAGGATGCTTTTATTAAATTGGTTCCATACTACGCGTGCGCTTTCTGTTCCGTTTATCTACTAAGGGCTATACTTAACTTCCTGGCGACGAGGTTAAACTTGTACGATGTCGCACCTTCCTACACTACTTTGGAAGGTACCTTCTGAGAAACAAACACCGGCTACCTGGAACCGCTGGAAGCACGATACTCTCAGAGAGCCACAAAATTAAATTATTGAACAATCTCTGAGGGATAAAAGCATTTTGATGCTCTCCATGTCGGTGAGAAGGATACAGTTAACTGCGCGCTAGAAGTCCTCAGCTGATTATGAGATTCACCACTGAACACATGCGTGGTATTCTTTCTGGACCTTGCGTGAAAACCCTGAAGAAAGTGTCACTGAGCGGATCCAGCATGCCCTACCAGAGTATCGGTATAGTGAAATCCCCATCTCGAAGTTCAAAGAGGCGATAACTTTACAGTGCTTGATATCTGATATCCGTAAAGAACAGGCTCATGAAAGCTTGTTGTCGGAAGATGAAACGACGGTGAGCTGGGCGAAGGCCTGCATTCTTGTTCGGCAACTGGAGAATGTTCATAAACAGTTAGCAGCTTTTTCCTCGCAACCTCATACAGACACAATCCAAGCAATCGACCGAAAAGGTGTTACCCCCTTACGATCCGAACTGCCTGTTACCGATGTGGATGTCAGCACTTATCAGCCGAGGAATGTCGTCATACACAGAGTATCTGCCGCCAATGTGGAAAATTAGAGCACTTGGCCGGAGTTTGCCGATCTAAAACTTGCATAGCCGCGACATCACGTTTTCCCAAGAAGCCTGTGAAGGTCGTCCAGCCATCAGGCGAGGAATACCAGCCAAACACGATCTAGAATGCAACGTTGAGCATCTGTAGCATTCACCCACCCTACACTGTGCAATTGGAAACAGAAGGCCAGTTGGTTAAAATGGAAGTTGATACCGGTGCCTCAGTTACCATAATCAGTGCCGCACCAGTTACAAGACTACCCAAATTATCCCCCTGTGGATCCACTTTGCTTACATGCATTGGGCAGCCGATACCAGTCCTGGAAAAATGCACTATTCATGTAAATTACCATGGGGAGAAGCGGACCTTACTGGCTCTGTTGTGGCGAATGATTGTCCTTACTTACTCGGGCGCGACTGGGTTAAATGCCTTCCGGCCATGCTAGAAATAGTGAAGTTCATGTCCATTAACCAGCGCTTGGAGGATGTGCTCAACCAATATTATTACGTTTTTGATGAGAAACTAGGAAAATTGCACGGATATCAGGCTAGTATCAAATTACTGCCGGGAACTCAGCCCCGCTTTTTCAGCACACGTTCTCTACCTTATTCCTTGAGATCAAAGGCGGAAGACGAGCTAAAGAGATGGCAACCAGCAGGAACAATCGAGACGGTCCAATACTGTGAGTGCGGAGCTCCAATACTTCCAGTCCCGAAGCCGGATGGTTCTATGCGCATGTGTGGTGACTGTAAACTAACTGTTACTCGTTGTTTCATTTTGGATACGTATCCCTTACCCCGGATAGTGGCTCTGTATGCTACACTGGCAGGCGGACAAAAGTTTACAAAGATCGACCTCAGTCACGCGTACTTACAAATTGAGTTAGACGAGACCTCTCGTTCATGCACTACGATAAGTACACACATGGGTCTATTCCAGTACAAACGTCTGCCCTTCGGAATCATTTCGGCTCCGGCGATGTTCCAAAGGATCATTAACAACCTGATCAAAGATATTCCTTTCACTTGCGCCTATCTTGACATTCTACTTACAGGACGTACAGATGCTGAACATTTACAAACGCTATCCACTGTGCTCGAATGTCTACAACTGAGTGCACTCAAACTGAAGAAGTCCAAGAGTACGTTTTTCTCAGATTCCCTCCGTTACCTTGGTTACCGCCTCGATAAAAACGGATTACACGTGTTAGAAAACAAAGTAAAGCCCATCCTTGTCGCACCTGAACCCAAGAATGCAGCTGAACTCCGATCGTTTTTAGGGATGTTTTCTCACTATTGTCGCTCCTTACCTAAGGCCTCAACAGTATTTGCACCATTGTACAAACTGATACACCAGGGGAAGTCTTGTACTTAGAGTCCGGACCAAAGAAAGGCCTACACAGATGCAAATAGGGTACTCGGCGCCTCCTCGTATCTCGGGCATTTCGATCCGAGCCGGCCTCTACTGCTGCAATGTGATGCTTCCTCACGCGGAGTAGGCGCAGCCCTTTGCCACCAGACGGATGACGGTTCTCTTCGCCCAATCGTTTTTGCTTCTCGGGACCTGCAACCCGCTGAAAAGAATCAATCCCAACTAGACAGAGAGACTTTAGCGAATATTTTCTGAGTCAAGCATTTCCACCAGTACGTCTATAGAAGACAGTTTGATATCTACACTGACGATAAACCACTTCTTTCGCTTCTGGGTGAGGAGAAAGGAACTCGATAGATGTCTTCGTCTCGAATGCAAAGGTGGGCACTACTTTTGAGTGCCTATAACTACAAACTTCAGTATGTAAACGGACCAAGTAATACGATTGCCGATACACTTAATCGCCCTTCGCAGCAGCATGGCACAAAAACGAATAGTGAACCCATGGAGTTTATCAAATTGATGCAACGCCTTGAAAAGACATCCATCCGGAATGACGTGATGCGGCGCCTACTGACCAGGACCCTGTGTTGTCAATGGCGAAACGGTTCTTGATGACCGGATTTCCTACAGGCAGGCAGACGAACTGAAACCATTCGCCTGTCGGAGTAATGAGTTGAGTCTATACGACGGCTGTATATTTCGAGGCTCGCGCATAGTTCCACCAGAAAAACTACGGCCCCAGTTGCTGAGAGAGCTGCATGACGCACACCCCGGCGTGAACAGGATGAAGGCGCTGGCACATGGTTACTGTTGGTGGCCGAACATTGATCAGGATATAGAGCGGCTGCTGAAAAACTGCGAACAATGTCAGAAATATCATAGGCAAATATCTCCCGGACCGATACGTCCATGAGGTTGACCGGAGAGGCCCTGGCAGCGGGTACACGCGGACTGCTTTGGTCCAATCAATGGGTTGATGTGTCTACTGTTGATTGATGCCCAGTCTAAATAGTTAGAAGTACATCCAGTTCCACATGCGACTTCCGCAGCAACAGTTACAAAAATGCTCCCCAAAATCGCCATTTTCGGTATTCCAGAGATGGTATGCATCGACAACGGAACCCCATTTACCAGTGGTTTCAACAATCCTTGAGTAACAACGGAATACAGCACATTAAGTCTGCACCGTATCATCCCGCGACGAATGGAATAGCAGAACGTGCAGTCCGGACTGTTAAGCAAGGTCTCTTCAAGCAGGCACATGGAACTCTACAAACTAAGTTGCATCGTCTCCTGTTTTCTTATCGCACGACACCGACTGAGTCGACAGGGAAGTCACCCGCGGAATTAATGTTTGGTCGGCCAATACGAACGACACTGCACCTACTTTTTCCGAACTTTCGCAGACGAATGGAGGCAAACCGGGAGATATGTGGTGACGAAAAGATGCCAGAAGAAATGTCATACCGATTTTGATCCGGTATACATGAGACTGCTTCACGAAACAAGCTGGCAAGCTGCTACACTCGTATCCTCAACGACTAACCAAGCGGAGCTACAGCTGGAGGACGGCCGTGTGGTACTTCGCCATTATGACCATATCCGGTCACGCTCAAACGAACCACATGAGCGGGATCAAAAAGCGACTGCTACTGACCCAAAAACGGACGGCGAATCTGCTTCACAGAACCAGAAACTACAAACTGATGCGGTACAGCCACACTTAAGACGCTCAAAACGCACGCCTAAGCCACTTGATCCGTATCACCCGGAGTCTGCAGTTTTGACCAGGGAAGAGAGGGGTGTCTTTTATGCACTTGAGTGTCGATTCGCGAACACAAGCACTCACATGATTGCTTGACAGTGACCTTGCCTTACTTTCCTTATTTCATTGGTTTTCCTTTCCGGTTTTTCTAACCACTCTAACGCAGTGAGCTTTTAGAAAATCGGTTCCATACTACGCGTGCGCGTTCTGTTTCTTTCATCGGGTACGGGCCATACTTAACCAACGTAAGCGCCTGCG